ATGGCACCAGTCCTAGGTTAGACGAGCAGTATCTGGGCAGGTGTCCCTGCAGGAACAGGAACACTCTCATGGAAGGCTGCAGTGCTCTCTGCACAGGATTGTGATTCTGACACAGTCCTTGTGATAGTTATTATGAGGCATACCTGGTGACACAAATAACTCCATTTTGATTTTGACAGCTTTCACGGTAGTTACTTAAGCTTGTAGAATGATGAACAAAAAAATGAATTAATTAATTAATGAAACTTGATCACCCTGCCTCTGGCCTAAATGAAACCAAATGAGCACAGCTCAAGCAGACAGACAGTAGCTGGCTGGTGGTTGATACATACCTTCACTGTTGCAATAGGAACATCTTATTTGCAGTACTAGTTTTTTGGATTTTTTTAGATTTTTGCCACATGCACTCACCAGAGAGAAAGAAAGTGAGAAATCATCCCCCAGAGGGAGTGGTAATGCCACAATTCCTTCTCCTTCATTCTCCTCTTGGGATTTTGGGCAGACACACACAAGCAAGTGTGCATGTGCACATGCATGCCCAGCATGATCTTCAAGCCGCTGGGTCCAGGACTCTTAACTGCAGTCAGCCATGTGGGAGTCCAGTGCCTTAACCACCACACCGCCTGCTGGCCCCTGAAAAAAATCTTTTCTTGAGAGACTTTTGCTATAGGGCTTGTGCACTCACCAGACAGACAGGAAGAGACAGAGAGACAGAGAGCAAGAAATTGCCCTGCAGGGGATGGACATGTTGCAATCCCTTCTCTTCCTCTCAGGATCTTGGGCATGCACACATGTGCCCAGAGTGAGGATTTTTTTTTTTGGGGGGGAGGTTTTTGCTATCAGGCATGTGCACTCACCAGAAAGACAGAGAGACAGAGACAGAAAGCGACCTGCTTCCTGCAGGGATTCCCCCCACAATTGGCATGAAACTTCTCACACCCATCCACTTCTCTCAACTCTCCTCAAGCTCACAAGACTAGTGTGGTAATGAAATGAGTGTGCAATCCTCATATAAAACCTGAAAATGAGTGTGAAATCCTCATATAAAACATGACAAATGCTGTTGCTTCCCACAGCTCCTCGTACACAACTCTTATGTAGACTGACTCAAACTGACCCCACCTGTCTTTCCACCCTCATATTCCCCACCATATACATTACGGCTGCATCCAGGGAGGGAAGAGATGACAATTTTTTTTTTTCTTTTTTTGGAAAGGTTTCAGCTATAGGGCACGTGCGCTCGCCAGACAGAAACAGAGAGACAGAAAGCGAGAAATCACTCCCCCGGGGGGGATGGCCACACGGCAATCCCTTCTCCTCCATTTTCCTCTTGGGATCTTGGGCACGCACACACACGCGCCTGGCGTGAGTTTAAGTCACCGGGTCTGGGACTCGAACCATGGTCGACTACGTGGGAGTCCAGTGACATAGCCATTACGCTAACTGCTGGTCCCGAGATGACAAATATTTTTTAATGAACTGGGTCAGCAAATGGTGTGGAGGTTAAGGTGCTGGATCCCAAATGGTCAACTGCATGGTTCAAGTCCTAGACCCAGCAGCTTGGAAATTACCCTAGCATGTATGCATGCATACCCAAGACCCTGAGACAATGGAGAAGCATGGCCATCCCTCTCCTGGGAGGTGATCTCTCACTTTCCCTCTTTGTTTATCTCTGGCGAGTACATTTACCCTATAGCAAAAACAAAAACAAAAAAAAAGAGGTGCAATTATATAAGTTGTTTTGGGACAACTGCCTTGGCTACCAGAATCAATGACAAGATGGCACCAGTCCTAGGTTAGACGAGCAGTATCTGGGCAGGTGTCCCTGCAGGAACAGGAACACTCTCATGGAAGGCTGCAGTGCTCTCTGCACAGGATTGTGATTCTGACACAGTCCTTGTGATAGTTATTATGAGGCATACCTGGTGACACAAATAACTCCATTTTGATTTTGACAGCTTTCACGGTAGTTACTTAAGCTTGTAGAATGATGAACAAAAAAATGAATTAATTAATTAATGAAACTTGATCACCCTGCCTCTGGCCTAAATGAAACCAAATGAGCACAGCTCAAGCAGACAGACAGTAGCTGGCTGGTGGTTGATACATACCTTCACTGTTGCAATAGGAACATCTTATTTGCAGTACTAGTTTTTTGGATTTTTTTAGATTTTTGCCACATGCACTCACCAGAGAGAAAGAAAGTGAGAAATCATCCCCCAGAGGGAGTGGTAATGCCACAATTCCTTCTCCTTCATTCTCCTCTTGGGATTTTGGGCAGACACACACAAGCAAGTGTGCATGTGCACATGCATGCCCAGCATGATCTTCAAGCCGCTGGGTCCAGGACTCTTAACTGCAGTCAGCCATGTGGGAGTCCAGTGCCTTAACCACCACACCGCCTGCTGGCCCCTGAAAAAAATCTTTTCTTGAGAGACTTTTGCTATAGGGCTTGTGCACTCACCAGACAGACAGGAAGAGACAGAGAGACAGAGAGCAAGAAATTGCCCTGCAGGGGATGGACATGTTGCAATCCCTTCTCTTCCTCTCAGGATCTTGGGCATGCACACATGTGCCCAGAGTGAGGATTTTTTTTTTGGGGGGGAGGTTTTTGCTATCAGGCATGTGCACTCACCAGAAAGACAGAGAGACAGAGACAGAAAGCGAGAAATCACCCCCAGAGGAGATGGCCACGCCGCAGTCCCTTCTCCTCCATTCTCCTTTCGGGATCTTGGGCACACATGCACACATGCCCGGCATGAGTTCAAGCCACCAGGTCCAGGACTTGAACCGCAGTCGACTACTACATGGGAGTTCAGTGACATAGCCATTACGCTAACTGCTGATCCTGCCCAGTATGAGTTTTAAGTTGCTGGGTCCAGGACTTGAACTTGGTCGACTATGTGTGAGTCCAGCAATGTAACCGTTATGCCATCTGCTAGTCCTGCAATATTAAGTTTTTAAAAAGTATAAAAGCAGGGCCTACGAGTCACCCACAATTCTGAAAACTAGGCACACCTCTTGAGCCCAACAATAAAGAAATAACTTATCTTTTTCTTTTCCTTCAAAGGCAAATCCTACTAGAACAACTCAAGAATCATAAAGAACAGCTGGAAATCAAAGAACAATATAATAATAAAGGGACCAAAAATGTAGAGAAATTTCTGGGAGAAATGAGGTAGATGGAATAAGATCAGCAAAAAAGCTGACCAAGCCAGCAGCCTGGTGATTTAACACAGACAAAATAAGGGGCTCCAGGAGAAGTGAATGGGTTTCCTCAAGCATGCCCAGAAACTGCCCAAAGGCAGAATGGCAGGGCTTAGGGCCATAGGCCGGCTGTGATGCCAGCACAAGGGATATGAAAGCACTCCCACTAAAGTCAGGCAGAGCTAACTTCTCAGGGCCCTGCAAAGTCTAGTAAAAAAAAAATAGGGGCTGGGGCCAGCAAGCAGTGTAGTAGTTAAGTCTCTGGACTCCCATGAATTCAAGTCTCAGACTTGGCAGCTTAAAAATCATGCTTTTGGGAGTGTGTGCGTGTGTGCCCAAAGTCCCAAGAGGAGAACGGAAGGGAAGGGACTGCAGTGTGGACATCCCCCCTGGCAGTGATTTCTCACTTTTTGTCTCTCAGTCTCTCCAGCAAGCGCATGTGCCCTGTAGTAAAAATCTCTTTTTTATTTTTTTTTTAAGAATTATTTCTTTAATTCCATTTATTTTTATTATTTTTTAATCTGACCATAGAGAAACACAGGGAGAGAGAAAGGGAAAGGGGAGAAAGCCACCAGGTCTGGGACTTTAACTGCAGTCAGCGATGTGGGAATTCAATACCTTTAACCATTTAACCACCAGGCTACCTGCTGGCTCTGTAAAAATGTCTCTTAAGGGACCAGCAGTTAGCATAATGGCTATGTCGTTGGACTGTCATTAGTAGACCATGGTTCGAGTCCTGGACCCTGTCTTAAACTCACTCCAGGCGTGTGTGCGTGCGTGCCCAAGATCCCGAGAGGAGAATGGAGGAGAAGGGATTGTGGTGTGGCCATCCTCTTGGGGGAGTGATTTCTCGCTTTCTGTCTTTCTCTGTCTTTCTGGTAAGCACATGTGCCCGATAGCAAAAACCTCTACAAAAATAATAATAATAAAGGTGGGCCAGCAGGTGGTTAAGGCACTGGACGCTATCACATGGCTGACCATGGTTCAAGTCCCGGACCTGGTGGCTTGCTTTCTCACTTTCTCTCTCTCTATGTCTCTCTGGTCAAATTAAAATAAATAAATAGAATGAAATAAATCATTCTTTTTAAAAAAATAGGTGTTGAAAACAACATACATGATAATATTCTTGATTCATTACATGCTTTGGAAAAAACCATATTGTACAGCATAAAGATATACAATTGAATATAAATAAGAAATTATAAAAAATAACATTTTAAAAGGGGGTCAGCAGGTGGTATGGTGGTTAAGGCAGCTGGATCCCACATGGCCAGCTGCACAAATCAAGTCCTGGACCCAGTGGCTTGAAAAACACACAGGTACATGTGTATGGCCAAACTCCTGAAGGGAGAAATTAAGGAGACTGTACTGCAGTATGGCCACCCCCCACAAGGGGTGCTTCTTCACTTTCCTTTTCTTCTCTCTCTTCTGTCTGGGGAGTACACATGCCCTTACATCATTGGATTCCCACATGGCCATCTGCGGTTCAAGTCCTGGACCTGGTGGCTTGAAGCTCTTGCTGGGTACGTGTGTGTGCATGCCCAAGATCCCGGGAAGAGAATGGAGAAGAAAGGATTGCAGCATGGCCATTTCCCCCGGGGGAGGGTGATTTCTCACTTTCCCTCTTACTGTCTGTCTCTATCAGGTGAACAACCTAAGGCAAAACCTCTACCCAGGAAAAAAAAAAAAAGAATGAAAATTTGCCCTGTCAGACATAAAAATTCACTGCAAATCATCAAGGACACTATATGTGCATATTAAAGGCGCTACTACAGAGAAAACAACATTTCATATCAAATGTTTCCCAAGTTTACTTCTGCACAGTACACAGACAATGTATGGCTAAAACACAATTTTCTACAATTTGCTGGGTGCTGATTTAACACATCTTAAAGAAAAAAGTAACCAGTATGACACCAATTCTCGACTTCGAGGACTGCTTGACTTTCTGAGTGGATCAGGAAGTGGGTCCTCATTTTTCGGGGGTAGAATCCTCTGATTTCAGCTCGGCCTTCCTTATGCTCTCCAAGTTTAGTTGTTGATATTTTCTTTTAAAAAAGCCACACTGAAACAAAGGAAGGGAAAGTGCAATTATAGGCCTAAGACCTCCAGCTGTTACAGGAACGTCCCTGTGGGTGCTGCCTAGGTAGCCCCTAACTCTGCTTCTCAGACTCCCCATGCCTTTCCCCATCTTCCTCTGAATCTCTCTCCCGGGTTACCCAATACTTCAAAACCCTGCTTTTTTCTTTTTTTTTTTTTTAATGAGAGAGCAGAAGAAAGAAATAGATATTTTCTTTCCTTCTTTTTTTTTTTTTTAAACTTTATTTACTTATTTATTTATATTTTTTCATTTGACCAGAGAGGGACAGAGTACGAGAGAAAGAGAAAGTGAGAAATCAACCTGCCAGGTCCAGGACTTGAACCACAGTCAACCATGTGGGAGTCCAGCACCCTTAACCACCATGCCACCTGCCGGCCCCTCCTTTTTTTTTTTTTTTTTTTTTTTTGGAGAGATTTTTGCTATAGGGTACATGCACTCGCCAGAAAGACAGACAGAGATACAGAAAGCAAGAAATCACCCCCCAGAGAGGATGGCTACACCACAATTCCTTCTCCTCTTGGGATCTTGGGCACGCATGCACACACGCCTGGCATAAGTTTAAGCCAAGTCTGGGACTCAAACCATGGTTGACTACATGGGAGTCCAACAACGTAGCCATTATACCATCTGCTGGTCCCAAAATACGTATTTTCTACAGGGTATCACCACTGTCTTCCCACCTAGCCTCTCAGTTACGACTGCAGGCATGCACTGCTGCCTGTTTTAGGCTGGTCTAGGATCCTAACCTGGGCCAAGACCCTTATATGCTGCTTTCCCTGGTGTTCATTCTCCAATGAGGGATGACTTTCCACTCCCCTCTGAACTCCCAGAGCAATTTGAACCTATTAACAGAAGTAATTCTGTGACGCATTATTTGCAATGTACTATTTCAGCTGTACTGGATCTAATCTTATTTATGAAAAACCACTCAGTTCGGCCTATGCTGAGGTCAAAGATCAAGCACGGCCTCCTACACCAAGACACTCACAATCGAGCAGGAGATACAACTGCCAGAGTGCAGACTGCCATTTGGAACGGTTTCTGGAATGGAGCTCACAGGGAAAGCTCATAATCCAGCACAGAGGACTCAGGAATCTTCTGAGTTTTCAGGGAAGAGTGTGAGCAAGGTGACAAAGTGGGGAAGGGGATTCTTGGCAAAGGAATAGCCAAGAATGTGCTTTGCACAAGCACAGAGGCATGAACCTATTTAGGAATGGTTCAATTTGTCTGGACAAAAAGCAAGACTCAAGGTAGAGAGGAGTTGAGGACGAGGGTTTTGAAAGCAATGAGTCTGACCATTAAGAAAAGGGAAGGCACGGAGAGGCTTTAAATAGGAGAACGACCATCCTACCTGTTTTAGTATTGTGATTTCTAATGCTTTCGTTAGATTACTCTATTTTATTTTATTTATTTATTTTTAATTTGACCAGAGAAAGGGAAAGTAAGAAAGCAAGCCACCAGGTCCAGAACTAGAACCATGGTCAGCCTTCTGTGGAAGTCTAGCACCTTAACCACCATACCACCTGCTAGCCTCTAGATTTCTATATTTTTAGACAGAAACTGTTTTATTCATTGGCCTAAAAAGTAAATGAACGGCTGAAGGAGAAGGGAAAAGTGGCCCCAAGGCCAGGGTAGCAGCTCTAAGTCAGGGATGGCTGTTCCAGGGAGTGGCGTCTGTGCCCAACATCAGAGTGGTCTCCCCGCCACGTGAACATGAGGACTGACCTTGAACAGGATGATTACGATCACAATCAAAACCAGCAGGCCACAGGCACTGCTTCCAATGATGACGGGCAAAGAATGGCGCTCCTCGTCTTTCAGGAAGATGACTGTGATCTGCAGCAGACAATAAGTAAGGCAAAGCAAATGAGGACAAAATTCCTTGTTGTTTTGTTTTTAAAGAAGTTTGTTGGGACCAGCAGTTAGCGTAATGGCTATGTTGCTGGACTCCCATGTAGTCGACCGTGGTTCGTGTCCCGGACCCGGTGGCTTAAAACTCATGCTGGGCGCGTGTGCGTGCGTGCCCAGGATCCCGAGAGGAGAATGGAGGAGAAGGGATTGCGGCGTGGCCATCCTCCCTGGGGGGTGATTTCTCGCTTTCTGTCTCTCTGTCTCTGTCTGGCGAGCGCACACGCCCTATAGCAAAAACCTCTCAAAAAAAAAGAAAAAGAAGTTTGTTTCTTTTTTTCATGAGAGAGAGACAGTGACAGAGAGACTGGTACCCCACTCCCCCAACAAGGTGTTCATGCCACAATCCAACCCCAACTTCAGCCAGGCCAGGTATCAGGCATGTGTGTGCAACTGCACGTACAGGGGGCCCTGGGATGAGAACCCAGGACCTTTCCACGTGGGTCCAGTTGCATCACTACTGCAGTGTCTAGTCCCAACCCCTCACGTTATTTAAAGGAGCAAAATATGAGGACTCAGCAATATCCTCTGCATCGATCAAAACACAGAAATAAAGCGAAAAGCTAAACATTCCCTGAAGTAGCAGTTTAGATCTAAAATTACCTAATGACCAAAGTACTTCCTAAAAAACTATTTCAGTCTCCCATCTATAAAAGCTAAATCTGTCCAGATCGTGTGACCTTTTGTTAAAGATGCTCTTAGTTTGGTAGAGCATCCCAAGAATTTAGGTCTCTAGGTTTCAAAGAACAGGACACTGGACTGGAAGACAGAAAATCAAGATTCTACACCCAGCTAAGTCACTATGTGTCCTTGAGCCAATGTCCTTTATTCAAACTGATGGCCTTTTAAATGATCTCCAAGTTCTAACTCTGTTCCAACGGCTCTTTTTGAGCTTGCACAGTCACTGAAGTCTTTGGTAATATATTCCCCCATGAAATACATGACAAAGGTACTGGACTGCTCTTCACTGGGTCAGAAGTGCGTGTTACCTCAGGGCACAACAATAAATCCCAAACTGTACCCACGGTTCTGCCTGTAAAGCTCTTCCAGCAGCAGCTGCCCCCAAGTTTCGTTTTCCAAAAGCCTCAGTTCCAGGAATCTAATCACTCTTCTCACTGACAAGGCACACTTGGAAAGCTTGGGGGATGAGCTTCGCAACTGAGACCTAGACAAAAGTGGCCCTCTCAAAGGTGTGGCCAGAGCAGGTTCCCAGGGCTTAGGAGGTCAGAGGGCCATCAAGACTCCTCTGCCTGCCCAGGACACGGAGTTCCCTTCACGCACATGTTTAAACTCCAAAGCCATGAAAGCTTTGGAGAGATTTCCGTGTGGACTGAAGGTCTGGACAGATTTGCTTTGAAGGCCTCTTCCTATGAAGTCACAAATGCTGGTTGAACTAATGTTGACCTTCCATGTCCTACTTAACTCTTAGGTAGCTGAACTTAACAGGAGTATAGTCTGGCCTTGAGAATAGGGAGGTCCAAAAGCAACACAGAAGGGGAAGAACAGGAAAAGCTGGATTTGTCTATAGAAAAGGATGGGTCTGAGGGACCAGTAGGTGGCATGGTGGCTAAGTCGCTGGACACTCCCGCATGGCCAAACACGGTTTGAGTCCCAGACCTGGTGGCTTGCTTTCTCACTTTCTGTTTCTCTCTGGTCAAATTAAAATAAATGAATGAATCAAGTTAAATCAATAATTCTTTAAAAAAAAAAAAAAAAGGAAAGGATGGGTCTCTAGGGGGAATTCAAGAAAGGCCCAAGGCGACAGTGGTATAACAGGCCAAATTTGGAAAGAAATTAATTTCTCAAAGTCTTCTCTCTCTTTTTCCCTTCTAAAACCACAGGTTCCCAAAAATGCCCCAAAGCTGCCCTGGTAGAGGTAAGGGGAAGGCAGGACACAGGATACTACTGCTTGCAGCAAACACTGACGGCAGCCTACCCAATAGCCATCCTCTCCTCTCAGACAGTGTTCACGAATCATGATGGTACAAGCCAATCATGACAAAACTATTCTTTGCCAGTAACTGACATGAAATCCAGTTCTTAATACTAATCAGATATAAGGGGGTCTCCTGGGAACTTTTAGAAAAATCCCCCTCCCTAAATAGGAAAGAGGCTCCCCCTAAAAATCCTTTTGTTACTGACCTCTTCCCTTCCTTTCTGTCTTCTGCCATATGAAAATAAAGCAAAATGTGGCAACTTTGTCCTGGCCAGAAAGGATGGCAGCACCAACACAGTCGGCAGAGTGTAAGGACCAGAGGAGTCAGGCCAGGGACCCTGAGTCTGCTTCCCTCGGGGCCTACAAAGCGTCTCCCTGCTGGCACACTGGCTTTGCAGTTTCCTTATTTGAGGCAGAAATGCATTCAGATACACAGCTCTTTTAGACTCACAGATTCAATGTAAGGCAGGTGCTTATTGTCAGGAACTACTTAATACCTTCCTTAGGATACTGAATTTTTTTTTTTTTTTTTTTTTGCTGTAGGGCACGTGGGCTCCCCAGAAAGACAGAGACGGACAGACAGACAGAAAGTGAGAAATCACCCCCCAGGGGGGATGGCCACGCTGCACTCCCTTCTCCTCCATTCTCCTCTTGGGATCTTGGGCATGAACGCACACGCACCCGGCATGAGTTTAAGCCACCGGGTCCAGGACGTGAACTGCGGTCAACTGCATGGGAGTCCAGTGACATAGCCATTAGGCTAACTGCTGGTCCCAGGATACTGAATTTTTCAAATTATTTGCCAGAGGGTGTGTGTTCTTTCCAGAAAGAGACAAGAGAGTGGGAGAGAGAGAGAGCCCAGAACAGAGTTCCCTTCACGCACATGTTTAAACTCCAAGGTCATGAATGCTTTGGAGAAATTTCCGTGTGGACTGAAGGTCTAGACAGATTTACTTTTAAAGCTTCTTCTTATGAAGTTATAAATGCTGGCTGAACTAATGCTGACCTTCCATGCTTAACCTTAACTCTTAGGTAGCTGAACCTAATAGCACGCTCTGCCCTTGAGAATAAGGAGGCACAAAAGCAGCACAGAAGGGGAAGAACAGGAAAGGCCGTTCTTTCAATACTTTCTCCTCCATTCCTCCATCCTGTCAGAATCTGGGGCAGACAGACACATGAGCCCAGCATATTTTTTTTAAAGAATTATATTATTTAACTTTATTTATTATTATTGTTACTTTCTAGTTTGATCAGACAGACAGAGAGAGGGAAGTGAGAAAGCAAGCCACCAGATTCAGGACTTGAACCATGGTCAGCCATGTGGGAGCCCAGCGCCTTTAACCACCATGCCACCTGCTGGCCCCGAGTCCAGCATATTTTTCAAGGTTCCAGGGACAGGATTTGAACAACATGGGTAGACACATAAGATCCAGCTCCTTTAACTATCAGGCCTTAGGCCAGCACCAGAAACTTATCTAAGTGCTTTAAATCTATTAACTCCTTGATTCTCTCTTTTTTTTTCTTTCTTTTTTTGGAGAGGTTTTTGCTATAGGGCACGTGCGCTCGCCAGAGAGAGAGAGACAGAGAGATAGAAAGCGAGAAATCACCCCCAGAGGGGATGGCCACTCCGCAATCCCTTCTCCTCCATTCTCCTCTCGGGATCTCGGGCACGCACGCATAAGTGCCCGGCTGAGTTTAAGCCACCGGGTCCGGGACTCAAACCGCGGTCGACTACGTGGGAGTCCAGTGACATAGCCATTACGCTAACTGCTGGTCCCAACTCTTAGATTCTCTTAAAAAATCTACTAACTCTTTGATTCTTAGAGGTATATAAGTACTATATTATTATCTCCCCTGCTTTATAAGTAAGAAAGGTGAGGTGGATCTGAGATTTAAACCCATGCACTCTCATTCTGGAAGGTTTTAGTACAGTACGATTCCTATAAATATTTAATATTTTTAGAATACAGACAATCTCTATCTCAAGAGAGAATACAACTTTGAAAAAGACACTTAGCCAAGGATGCTTCTATTTCTACACATAACTCATTTAAATTTCCTTTTCTGTAAATAGTTAATGATTTTTCTTTCTTTATCCTTGGAGTAATTACTGAATACATAGACTTTTGTTAAGAAATGGTAGTAGAGGGGGCCAGTAGGTGATGTATGTGGTGGTTAAAGGCACTGGATTCCCACATGGCTGACAGTGGTTCCAGTCCTGGACCTGGCGGCTTGCTTTTTCACTTTCTCTCTCTCTCTCTCTCTCTCTCACTCTGTCCCTCTCCGGTCAAATTGAAATAAACAAATAAATAAATAATAAATAAAGTTAAATAAAATAATTCTTTTAAAAAAAATGGTAGTAGACAGGATAGCGAGAAAAGTTTCCAATATAAATGTCTGTGTCTTAGAAAAAAACAGAAACATATTCTTGAGATTACAATGACCAAGGATTTATAGGACTTGGCTAGGCTGTAATTTCTTCTCCAGTTTTCCATCCTGCTGGGATTTGGGGCATGCATGTACACACGCCCAGCATATTTTTCAAGCTGCTGAGGCTGGGGTTTGAACCACTCAATCAGTCATGTGAAATCCGTCTGAAGTAGGCATGGGGCCGGCCCCAAGGATACTGAATTTAAATAAAGGAAATTTGGGAAAACTATACTATACAATAAAAACATCAGTACTTAAGAGAGGGAAATATACAAATACATTAAGAATGTGCATATAAGAAACTGTTCATAGTGAGGCCAGTAGGTGGCGTGGTGGTGAAGGCATGGACTCCTGTTTTCAGAGGGTTTTGCCTTAGGCCATGTGTGCTGGTCAGAGAGAGAGAAACAAAGACAGTTAGAGGAAAAGTGAGAAATCACCCCCCAATCCCTTCTCCATTCTCCTCCTGGGATCTCAGACGTTCAGTGTGAATTTTAAGCCACCAAGTCCAGAACCTGAACTGCAGTCAGCCATGTGGGAATCTGGCAACACAGCCACTACGCCATCTGCTGGCCCCTTGTCTTTCTGGTGAGCACATGTGCCCTAGAGCAAATTAAATAACAATAACTTAAATTGTTTTTTTAAAGGAACTGTTAATAGTAACTCCCTTGGAAAAGAAGGAGTTGGTATGGGAAGGGGGAAATAAAGGAACCATTATTTTTCATTTGGTACCTTTCTGTAAGGCTTGAGCGTTCTTGTTTTTATTGTTTTTAATCTGGGCAGTACAATAACGGGTACCTATATTTCTTCCCTATCATTTTCTGTATCAGAAATACTTAAAAATAGGGCCAGATACAGCACAGCAATCAGGCACTGCACATTAGGAATTGGATCCCACATGGCTGACCCCAGCTCAAACCTCAGCCCTGGTGGCTTGAAAGACTTGCTGGGCACGTGTGTGTGCATGCCCCAGATCCTGACAGGATGGAGAAATGGAGGGGAAAAACTGCAGCCCTACTGCGGTGTGTTTTCTCCCTCTCCCTCCTTCTGGAGAGCACATGTGCCCGCTGGCTTGCGAAATACACTGAGCACATGTCTAAAATCCTCACGGGATGCAGAAATAGAGGAAAAGTGATTGCAGAGTGACTGTACCCCACTGGGGGGTACTTTCTCTTCCTGTGCCACACTACCACCCCTGGCAAGTGCATATACCCTTAGGCAATGACGAGAGACAAAGACAAACAGACTTGAAAATAAAAGGAGTGGTTCTTTTAATTAATTAATTAGTTAATTAATTAATTTTTGAGAGGTTTTTGCTATAGGGCGCGTGTGCTCACCAGAGAGAGAGAGATACGGAGAGACAGAAAGCAAAAAATCACTCCCCAGAGGGGATGGCCACGCCGCAATCCCTTCTCCTCCATTCTCCTCGAGGTGTCTTGGGCATGCACGCACACGTGCCCGGCGTGAATTTAAGCCACTGGGTCCAGGACTTGAACCGCGGTCGACTACTACATGGAGTCCAGCAACATAGTCATTACGCTAACTGCTGGTCCCAGGAAGTATTATTCTGACATGCCCAGAGAAATGCTCCTTTCTCCCCTTCCAGAGATGAAAACAGAGGATTGCAAATATTTACTAACCCACTCTCTTTCCTGACATTCCCTCTACTGCAGAATCACATCTAACTCAAGATCATCTCTGAAACCAGCAGCATGTCCAGAAGGGTGTCCACGAGAATGACAGCACAGGGTAATATACACAGGAGCATTTAGTTCACACATCACAGACAGCAGTTTGACTTTTAGTCCTACATTTCCAAAAGGAACTCTAAGAGTTTCAGTAATCCACTGAAGTTTTAGAAAAGCATTCTGCATTCCTTAGTATTATAACTGTTTAATACTGTAACCAGCACGGATGCTACAAACTAGGACAGTTAGTGTGCACAAAACACAATTTCTCATTTACAAAAATTTTTTAAAAGAATTTTTTATTTAACTTTGTTTATTTACTCATTTTGTTTGTTTGTTTGTTTTGACCAGAGAAGAACAGAGAGAGAGAGAGAAAGTGAGAAAGCAAGCTGCCAGGGCCAGGACTAGAACCATGGTCAGCCATGTGGGAGTCCAGCACCCTTAAACACCACGCCACCTGCAGGCCCAACAAAAAAATTTTTAATCAATACATTTTTTTTTTGGAGAGGTTTTTTTCACTATAGGGCGCGTGCACTTGCCAGACAGACAGAGACATAGAGACAGAAAGCGAGAAATCACCCCCCAGGGGGGATGGTCACACCGCAATCCCTTCTCCTTGATTTTCCTCTCGGGATCTTGGGCATGCATGCACACGCACCCGGTGTGCGTTTTAAGCCACCGGGTCCGGGACGTGAACCGTGGTCGACTACGTGTCCAGCGACACAGCCATTACGCTAACTGCTGGTTCCAATCAATACATTTTCAAATCAAAGTGTATTTGCTATTGATTCTAGACTAGCTATTTCCACTTAGACCTCCTCAGCTTAGGCCTCTTATTTAACTGCCTTATTTCAAAGGTGGAAAAGGCAGAAGCTGAAATGCTCAAGGACACAAAGACCCTGGCAAAGCCAAGATAAGAAATGGTAAGATGGTAGCAAGCAGGTGGCGTGGTGGTTAAGGCACTGGACTCCCATATGGCTGATAAAGGTTCAAGTCTTGGACCCAGCAGCCTAAAAACCATGCAAGGTACATGTATATGTGTCCAAAATCCTGAGAAAAGAATGGAGAAAGGACTATGGTGTGGCCATCACCCCTTGGGGATGATATCTCACTTTCTCTCCCTATCTCTCTCTGGCCAACACATGCGCCCTATGGCAAAACAAAACAAAACAAAACAAAACAAAAAAACTTAAAGAAAGAAATGATAAGATTGAAATCAGGAAAAGGGAAACAGAACATCTGATCACAGACTAGACACAGCTTCCACAGGATAGCACCCAGAAAATGAGAAAACAACTAAGGATTCCCTTAGTTCTGTAGTCCTTACCTTAGTTCTGTGGTTCTCTGCATTCAACCCCTCATACAGAGATTTGCTGTAAGATATTTCACCAAGAATCTGGAGTTCAGTTACATCTCTTAGCAACTACAGATGGGACAGAAGGGAAACAAAACCGATTTTAGAAATGGACTGTTTTTAGATCGTCCTCACCTGCTCCTTTAAATGTGTTCCTTCTCCATTATTCCTTACCTGGCTAATGGTCCCAGTATTCAGTTACCCAAACAAGAAATCCACAGTTACTTTTCAGTTTCTTTTCCCTAACTTTACTCTGTGCCACAACTGTCCCCAAAGTCAATGGCTTTTTAAAAAACGTATTCCGAGTGTGTGAGAGAGGTATAGCACCCCCTACAGGATTCTGGAGACTCGGTCAGCCCTGGTAATAGGAACCACACGCCCAGCACACTAAGGGAAATCTCTGAATGAAAACCAGTAAGCCACCCATGTGGGTCGGTCTCACAGAGAATCATGTTTCACCACTGAACCACCATCTGGCCCCCAAAGTCAGTTCTTGATCATTCCTCTTTTTAATCCTCCCTTGAACTTGCCCCTTTTTTCTCCATCCCCACTGCTACTTCTTCATTTCAGACCACATCACTCTCACCTGAACCACTATGTAAATATTAATCTTGGTCACTAGTTCCCTCTTAAAACACGTCATCAGGGAAGGCTTCTCTAAGAAAACATTTGCACTAAACATAAGAAAGAGTAGTGTTTTGCAAAGCAAGTACAAAGGTCCTGTGACCAGAATATTGACAAAGTGGGAAAACAGAAAGGTTGGTATAGCTGGATTATAAGAAAAGGGCAGGAGGAGAGAAAGAAGAGTACTAGGTCATAAAGTTGAAGAATTAAACAGAGACCAGACCACGGAGTTATCTTGCAGGCTATGAAAGGTAAAGTCTGTGTTCAAATGCATCCCCTCCCCTTTTAAAGCAGCAGAATTACACAATCTAATGTTTGCTTTTAGAAGGACAGCTACTATGGGGGCCAACAGGTGGCATGGTGGTTAAGGCGCTGGACTCCCACATGGCTAACTATGGTTTGAGTCCTGGACCTGGCAGCTTGCTTTCTCAATTTCCCAATCTGTCTTTCTCTGTTCAACTAAAAAAATAATGATGATTATGGTGAATAAAGCTATGTAAAGAATTATACTTGTAGAGGGTGAGGGAGGAGCAAAGGCAATAAGAACAGGTACAAAGTTACAGCAATAGCTTGGTGGCCTGAATTACCACAGCAGCCATGGAAAGGCAGAAAGGTGAATTATTTAGAATAGACTTTCATAGTGGAACAGCAGGACTTGCTGCTGGGATATGGGGAGGTATGAAATGAAGGCCTCACGGAAAATTCCTACAGTTCCTAGTTTGTAATTGGAGTAAATTACCCTACTGAGGGTAGCCTGAGTAACTGGCTAAGGAACAAATCTGTGCAGAGGGTAGACCGGAGACTGGCTTGAACGTTGTTTTAGATGTCATTATCCTTCCTAGGGGAGAAGCCCATTGACGGCAGTAGCATTTCAGTCTCAAGTACCTGCTTGGCATGATCCAAAGAGATCTCTGCAGCCACAGTTACATTCTCTTTATCTGAAGCAATGGTGCACCTCAGCAAATGCCATTCTTCCACATGCTGAAAAAAGGAAAGTCGGGTCACCATAATCCCTTATCGTACAGAAAAGTTAAGTTTTATTTTGTTCTTATAGGTTTTCGCCATACAAGTAAGTGTGCTTGCTACAGAAAGAGGGAAAGTGAGAATCAACCCTAGGAGGTGGGGACTGTTCACACCCCAATCCCTTCTCCTTCATTCTCCTCTCGGTATTTTGGGCACAACAGGCACATGCCCCCGTGATTTTTTTTTTTTCTTTTTTTGGAGAGGTTTTCGCTGGCAAGAAAGACAGAGGGAGACAGAGTGACAGAAAGTGAGAAATCACCCCCCCACACACTCAGGGGGGACGGCCACGCCACAATCCCTTCTCCATTCGCCTCTCGGGATCTTGGGCACGCACACGCACACACACACACCCTGCGTGAGTTTTAAGCCACCGGGTCCAGGACGCCAACCGCGGGTGAATACATAGGAGTCCGGCGACATAGCCATTACGCTAACTGCTAGTCCCATGCCCCCGTGATTTTCAAGCTGCTGGGTCAGGGGCTCCGGATGCCTTCAGTCACGTGGAAGTCCAGCACCTTAACCTCCAAGCCACCTGCTGGCCCCAGAAAGGCTGTGAGTTTGTTTTGCCTTAGGGCGTGTGCTCTCCTGGGGTGTGTGGGGGGTGGGGTGGGGGGGAGATACAGAGACAGTGTGAGGGAAAGTGAAAAATCACCCCCCCCCCCCGGAGGGGACGTGCAATCCCTTCTCCTCCATTCGCCCCCGCCCCCCGGAGTGATTTTGAAGCCACCAGGTCCCGCACTCCAACTCTGGTTGGTCACGTGAGAGTCCAGCGATATAACCGCTACGTCACCTGCTGGCCCCAAGGCTGAGACTATTAGTACCGGGGATCTTAAGGTTCCAGGACACAGGGTGTGAAGAGTTTCGGTGCTCACCGTGGCCCAAGCAAAGCTCGAACCCTGGCAAATATGACCCAGCTAGAAGGCTAAGGAGGGTGACCTGGGAAAAGTAGTGTCCTGGCCTCTCGTGTTACCTTCCTCCCACCCTCTCGAGACAGCCGCGCTCACCTGGACCGGATCTCTCCCACACGCGCGCTCCAGACTGTCGGTGCACACAGTGTGAGCCTGAAACGAAAACCATGCCAGCCCCACACTGAACAAACCCAGGCGCCATGGTTAAGAGCCCCCTCCCAACTGCCGCGAGACCCGGCGTAATGCGCGTGCGCGAGGCCGGGCGCTAGGACCCAGCGGCGGGGGGGCCGCCCGCACGGAACCGGCCCGCCGCAG